GATACCGCACGGCAGCTCGAGCGCGCTCGTGTGCGCGGGCGCCAAGGCTGCCGGACCTGGGGCAGGACGTGAAGAGGCGGGAGCTTCTGGATCAGGTACGCGCGCTCGCTGGGCAAATTAGGCTACATGCGGAACATTACGCAGCTGTAGTTGAGTGTCTGTATAAAGCTCAAAGGTAACGAAATGCGTTGCCCGCGAGATCCGCGTGCAGGATACTGTTGATCGATGGTAAGATCCAAACGGGCTTTACATCTCATATATTCCCTGTCATGATGACAAAATTCAAGTTTGAAAACCGATCAAACGTCGGTACCCTTCTACCTTTCAGCCGATCGCAGAGCGCGTAGCTTTCTGGAGGAATCTAATCTGACCAAAAGCTTCTCTTCCTCATCCATAAATCTCTGCTCTCAGTGAACTTTGCTGAATATTGTTCTTTCTGACAACTGCAGTTGATCCGTTGCCACGTGGACGCGATCGTCGCGCGCCACCTGGGTGTTCGTTAGGAGCACGTGCTCGTAATCACAAGGTTTGGTGGAAGGGCATCAGGATCGAGTGAAAAGCAATTAAGACAACAGGTGAGTAGCGAAATCCTTCCCTCTGAAACTTGCGGGCTTTGCTGGTCGGCTTCGTATATGGTAGCGAGCCTTGCAATAGATTTGAAAAAAGGGCCTCCATTTAACGTCGCAAAAATGCTTCCGCGCCTGACTCAGGTCGTCGGCAATAGCAAACTTCTCAGCACTACACTATCATGCACGTCTACCGGTGTGTCGAAGCGCTATCGTCTCGCAACATTCTGCAGGATTACACATCACTGCAGACCGCGCATCACAACCCCGGCTGGACTCCTTGTACTCTTTTCAATTTGCACGTTCTCTTTTTCATGCTTCGTCGAGCCCAACTAACTTACACTTAGACTCTGTTTGCAGCTGTCGCCGCACCTTTGGTATTGGGCGAGCTTGCGGTGGTGTATCGATCTGGCCATCGTACATGAGAAGCCCACCATCCTCCAGCACGCCTTCTTCTGTCCTTGTACGCTCCCTTAAGGAACCACACGTTGCCTGCTCTGAGAGTGCTGAGAGAATTGCTAACAAGTGCGAACAGACTGATTGCTGGAGTTCATATTCCAATAGCGGCAGCCAGTGGTAGTATGTACCGAGCAGGTGATAGAGTAACGGTTTACCCCGCGGCGATGCCCGGGGCGCCTCGCACCAGGCAGGCCGGTCGGCTGAATATTGTGCTTGTGGTATTGATATACTGACAGCAGGCTGCTTAGGTGTATATTCCGAATATTTACATATATAAGCGGTGACTAACAATATACGTATAAGTCTATTGGAAATAATATAAACGTAGTGTCTATAATCGATGACTTGCGTATATACGTATAGGAGCATACGTATGTGACTTTGTAATCGTCCGTACGGCAACCGCCGGCCCCGGTACTACGGTACGTGTTACGGTGCGTACTACGTACCGCCGAGAGTTGAGACTTGCAAACATACGTACCTACGTCCCAAAAAGGGGGGGGATTAAAGAGAGAGAGACCACACGCAGATTGTCCGTGGCTAGAAAAGTCACATTGAACTACAGGTATAAATTCGCCGCAGAAGCACGTGCCCCCGAGTTGGCTGGACTCACCGTACTGGCAATTTGCTCTTAGGAAGCATGTGAAAATTAAACCATGAATTCAAGTGGCCAAGCTTGGAGGAGATTCTGGAGATTGATCATTATCTGTGCTAGCGAGAGGTGGTAGGGCCTTGTCAAGCAGGGACTGTGGCAATATAACTCACGTGCTGGGATGACGAAGGAGCTCCTGGGCAGGGGCTGCCAATGCTCAGGTGGTTGTGCAGAAATGCAGGTTGCTGGAGTGACGAAGCGGAGCCGGGGCAGTCACAGTGGCTCGCAGTAATGCTCAGATGGAGGTGTAGAATTGCAGGCTGTGGAAGGCGTAAGTTGGAAGGGGTCAGCGAGGAAATGGTTGAACAGCGTGGGCGGTACTACAAATGCAACACTGGAGGCCAAGTACTAGTAGGTTTACGGTCGACGCGCACCCCTTAGGCCGACTTGCCGCTCCCATATGCATCACCGTTGAATCCAACCCACACCAGATCCTTTAATGCACTGGTCTGGCCTAATGGTCTATATTGAGCAATGACATCTCTCAGGTGCTTCCTCCTGCCTGTTGTCATTCTTATCTTGGGGCTCTTCGCAAGTGCTGTCCAGGCAAGGGCACGGGGTCGCGCGTTTCCCAGGCCAGGGGACTTGGCCAGTGGGTTGCTTGTGCAGGGACGGACAATATCAACAAAAGAGGGGCGGTGGGCGGGGGCAGCTTATGCGCGTGCTTTGAAAGAAGCAGACTTTGATCCACACTTGGATGACGAGCTGTTTGGAGATTCAAAGGAGGTCTTCAAGGAGTTGGAGCCCTTGCCTGTAGAAAATCGAGTCATAGGGCCACTTCCGCTGGATCTAGAGATCGCTGGGGGTGACAACGATGAGGACTACGGTGATTCGGAAGGGGGGGGCACGCTGGCGCACATGCTTGACAAAGTGCTGGAGAAGGAGTTCCCGGACGAGGAGCTGCACAAAGGTACAGCATCTGGGAGGTTCCGGACACTGCCGCTCTGTGTTCCGTGCATTTCGTTTGTCAGTTGAAACTTTGATTGCTTCCAAAAATATGAGCTTGCATCAAGGATTGGGGAAATGCAGGTAGAAGCGTTGTCTTTGCTGAGCTTGGATGTTGCTTTGGCTGCCAAACGTGGAGGCTTTCAGAAGAGCTTTATTTGTTGTTGACTTTGGGGAAAGCTCCGATATTTGGTTGACCTGTTGCGTATCAATTGTGTGCAGACGTCAACAGGACGAGCATCAGCAACTTCAATAGCAGTGTGGAGGCGCAGAACGTGAGTCAGTAGTCAGGATATTGTCATGGGACACTACGGATCATTGTTTGAAAGGTTGCTGATTCCCAGTGTTTGGCTGGATTTGCAGTGCCAGAAGTTGTTGGATTCTCAGAAGTGGGTTCCAAGACAGCGACAGATTCCGGGTTCAGTCCTGTGCCGATCTGCGCCGCTTGAGTCTGCTTTGGTTGAAAGCTTGCTGCTCTTGACAAGACAATGAGGCTAGCAGACAAAGTCGCTGGAACTTCGCTATTGGCCCCCTCTGCATGGCTTAAGGGCTAGCTGTGCTTACCACCATCAGTGCTTTCATTAGCAAAGTACTTTCAAATCAGTGCTTTCAAATCAGTGCTTTCAAATCTTCCTGCAGGCTGTGCTGGAGACGGTGGCGCGTGTTTCGACGCACAAAATTGATTCCAAGTAAGAAGGACCCGAATGCCGTGTGCTGAATTTGGCTCTTGTGACAGCTTAGCAGGACCTGTGCTTGACCTGATTGTACCTTCCCTTTCCTGTCTACTTAGCTTGATGCAGCCTTTCCTGTAATGTCTGCTTTTGTTCGTTGAACGCTAGGGTGTCAATGTGCCTTGAAAGGGATTGACCAATCAACTCTGCAGAGAAGGGCCTTTGAAAGTTTGCCACTTGCCAGTGCTTCACCCCACCCAATGTTGAGTGTGCAGTGAGAGCCAGGCACACTCCTTTGAGCTGGGGGATCTCATCAAGACGGACAAAACTGGGGATGCTGAAGACGTGGAGCGGCTCATTGATGCGGAGGTAGGCCGAAAGCTGAAGAAGGAAGCTTCAAGGGAACAGTTGGCATTTTGAAAGGAACAGAAAGGACTGAAGGTCGTCTCTCTGCACCCCAGCTTCAACTGCTGCTTAAAATTTTGTGAAGGGCGTCCTGTCAGCTGGGGGAGTTGCGAAGGTTCGTATGAGTATTTGATTGGGAAACCGTAAACGTTGCTTATAGCAAAACCGGTGGAAGCAAGTTAGCTTGAAGTAGGTAATTAAATAGGAGCCACTTGATAAAGCTGCCTGGTCCCCTTTGAGTCTCGAATTCAAGCCCTCCTGTTTCCCCCTTCTTGCACCGCCTGGTCTTAGTGCTTGCCTCCTTCAGATTTCCAGCTCTTAGATAGCATTGACTTGTGCTGACTTCACCATAATTTCAACTTTATGCATAACTTGAGTGGCCTGAGACAAACATTGAGTACAATCATACAAGATGTTCACTACCAGGCGCTTTAAGACCAAATAAGGTAGATGTTGAAATCTTTCAGTGCCTGCGCGCAGGACAACGTGTTTGTCATCTCCAATCCTGCCAATGGCAACATGATGCTCCAGCAGGACCTCAAGTGAGTTTCCGGCCTCGCCCCCCTTCCCCTGACTCATACCTGAAAAGTCAAATCTAGGTGGACTTGGGTGGTAGACGTGGGGCTGTGAACAACGTTTCAAGGTTGGTTCTTAATGAAGAAGGCGACTGCTCGTGGTTTGAGCAGCGGCGCGTTCTTTGGCTAACTTGCAATGGTAGGACAGGGCTGTAGGAACATTCATTCCGCAATTCTGGTGGTTTGTGATTGGATTTTTTATAAAAGGCATTGCGGCCTACCAAAAGTATATCTACAAAAGAAGACACTCTGCAGACCTTTGCTCGGTAGTTTCTTTGCTAGTCAGAAGCAGGCGCTGGTTGGCCTACCGCCAGGATCTTCAGGCTTTGGACTGAGTATTGCTTAGGTGCCCAAAGCTGAGCTGCTGTGTCTGCCAGCACATGCCGAAGACTTTCCCTATGAGTCGTGCTGCTCCCCTAAGCTCCATTGCAATCCCTCGTACTCCCTGTGGTCCTCAACAGATTCATCGCGGACCTTGTGATCGTGATCGTTTCTGCGGCGGTTGGTGGGGTCCTCTTTGCGCTGCTGGGGCAGCCAGTGATTACGGGCTACATTGCTGCAGGGTCGCTCATTGGTCCCGGCTGCCTTGGCCTCATCAACGAGTTGGTCCAGGTGACTACACGAATCCTTCTTTTGAGTCTGCATTATGAAGGTATTTGAGAAGAAATGTTTCTTCGGCGAGAATAGACGGCAACGATACTTTACTCAATTCATGTCGCTGTCTCAGATTGCATTTTCCTTTTTGGCGAGCATGTTCGGCCATCTGCGGCGATGTTTTGAGGCTCCATCACAAGTATGCTGAAGAGGGTAACAACATCCGTTCAGTTGTTTGACGCATCATAACAAGTACCCGAATGGTCACCGAAGTTCCTTTTACGTGTTAACAGGTCATATGCTGGCGAAGCATGCGGATCTTGCCAACTTATGGTGGTTTGCGACCTGAAAGAACTTAGCATTCTTAGGATCTTGTTTCCAAGACCTCCGTCGGATTGTTTGCAAGAAGGGGAGATGGCGTTGACCAACCCGTGTTATGGACCCGCATTCAATCGCTTCTGCTTCCACTTGTGTCCGAGGCCTTCTGTTACTGAAGATGTTGCCTAGATGGGCTGAAGGATCTCTACCATGTATGGGCTCTTAGCTTGTTTTCTACGCCCAACGGCCTGCCCCGAGGGCGCCTGCCTCAAATCCGTCCCCACGATGACACTGCCAGACGTTGCTTTGGCGATCGATTTTCAGCGGTCTCCTTATCGGTCCTTTTGCACATGATATGTTCAGCCCCAAAGTCACTTCCGAAGTCACCTTTTAGGATCCTAGGACCACGCGCTAAGAGCTGCAGACAATATGTCCAATTGGTCATCAGCACCTGTGGGTGTTTCGCAGGTGGAGACGCTCGCGCAGCTAGGGGTGGTATTCCTCCTCTTTGCGCTGGGCCTAGAGTTCTCCGCCGCTAAGGTGAGGGAATAAATCGCCAGCTCCAGATGGAGAATTTCTCGAAAGATACTGTACCTTGATTTTGTCAAGTATTGAGCCAAGACGAGGGATGGATCTTTGGCTCCATTGGATAGGATCTGGGGATGTGGCACTTGATTATAATTGGTCAACAGAGTAGCGCAGACATGAGAACTTCTTTAAGGTTTGCCGGTCTGCAGCCCGCTGCGATCACAAGAAAAAGTGTTGGGTCCAGCATCGAAAAGGCTGTCTTTGGCTGTCGGAAGCGGATTCCAGCTCACCAAAGTAAATTTAAAAGTTCTGTCAGCTCCCTGGAACTGGCAACAAGCGCACCATGACGTTGAGGAACACGACAGCCTGCAATGCAGCTGGCCTGGTTGCCCCAAGTGCTGTCATCTCTGCAATCGGAGCTCATTTTCTGGACCTGGCTAGACAGCAGCCTTGGTTATGGGGCAATTGAAACTGGATACAACAATCTGTTGCCCAGCTTGTGGTCGTGAGCCATGTTCCCCTTTACCTTGCAGCTGCGTGTGGTGCAAAATGTGGCCGTGTTCGGAGGGCTCCTCCAGATCGGCCTTTTCATGGCCGTCTGTGGGGCACTAGCGCAAGTACGACGTCCGCGAATTTGTTGGAGCAGCGTGCCTGTTCCTCACTGCGATGTGCGCGGTCAGCAAGCTCGTCAAAGCTCTGCTTTGCGTTCTTTCTGTACCCTCTTTGCTTGTCGACATTCTTGAAACCCATCCTTACGTCCAATTTTGGCCGTTCTGCTGCACGGGTAGATGATAACACTCATGTGGCATGTGCAGTTAGCGGGGGGCAACGTGTCCGAGGGCATCTTCGTTGGCGCCTTCATGTCGATGTCTTCTACGGCTGTGGTAAGCAGTGCGCCTTGCAGGATTACCTCTGTGAACTGTCAAGTAGCTTGTCTTTCACTGTCCGGGCGTCTTGTCCAAGCTTTCGCTGCACCATCGTGTTCGATTGCTGTTCTGCAGCTTTTGCTTTCAGAGTTTTTATTGAGGATCAGCAAACCTATTTTGACCCACATTGTTATGCAGATCTATAATGTATACCTACCTTGCACCTGTATCGTATCTGCAATCGTACCAGCGTGCTTCCTTACCGTCGTCAAAACTGTATTGTCCTGTATCAGGTCCTGTGCACTGCACTTCGGAAAGATCTGGCCGGTTTTGTCACCCGACTCCCCTTTCTTACAGGTGTTGAAGTGTTTGGGCGAAAAGGGCTCCATGAGCTCTCTGCCCGGTCAGATTACGGTGGGCACGCTCATTTTGCAGGTGAGATCACGGGCAGCAGCAACAGCAAGGTCCCAATGCCGAACGGGCAGACTTTCCTGGTGTCGCAGCTTTTTGGAAAATTCAGCTGAATCTACGGAGGCATCCGGTCCCTCCCCTTCCTTCGCTAGGTCGTTCCCCATCCCCGTCGTAGTTTGTTTGTTACGTATGACTGGCCCGTGCTTCCTCTGTTGCTCATTGTCGTCCTTACCTTCCGGTGTAATTACTTTTGACTTTGCAGGATTTCACTCCTCTACTTCATTTTCCCCTCTCACGACCCCCTCTGTTCCTCTTAAAAACAGCTCCGTGTTTATTGACAAAATATGGGCTGGCTGCCAGGACTGCTGCGTGGGCATGCTTTTTGCGTTGCTGCCCATCCTGGGGGGCGGCAATTTCGCCCAGGGGGTCATCTCTATGTCTCGCGAGTAAGTGCGCTCTGGCTGTGTTTGTTACTGTCCCTAAGGTCGCCACAACTGTTGAAGATCAGATTCATCCGTTTCTTTGGTGCTTGGCCTGACCTTCTGCGAGCTTGCACCTGCTACAATGTGGGGCCTTGCTCCGGGTGATAGCTCGCCAAAAGAATGCGGTGAGGCTGCAGACCGAACTTGCACAGTGGTCCCGTGTACTTGTGAAGCTTGGACGAAACACGTTAGCTTTTCAAGCGCTTTTCAATCCTTGGTGTTATCACAGTCGTAGCACGCAACGCACTTCAAACAGCGTTCTTCTCCCTGCTAGTCCCACTTTGTACGATCTGGCAAGTACAATCAACCTGCGCTAACCACGGTGCCTGGCTTGGAAACCTTTGTCGGACTCAAACACCACCCAAAAGCTGCAAGGCAGTCGGGTTTCGTGAGGCAGTTTTGGACAATGCTTGCATCAAAGTTGCCCTTGTGTCGACCTTGCCCTTCCTTCGGGTCTTGCCTTCGTTCCTTGATCGTGGACCGTTTGGATCAGCCAAACCCGTTCAGGAAACGGGCATAACCATTTACTCAGCGAGTACTAGCGAGGGTGACACTGTGTGATGCAAGGACTTGTAGGCTGTTGCCTGATGTCAGCCATGACCTTCTCGCACCCTTCCGTAAGTGCTTCCCTTCTATCTTCCATTGAGAGCTATTTATGGGGCTCCAATGCTCTGGTCCCAGATAGACCAGCTTCCGGGACTAGAGTAGGTCTCGTTGCAAATCCAGGTACAATTCCTTTTGACGACGCAAGAACCTCTGCATTTCTTGTCAGGGTGATGCTACTGGGCATGTTCCTGGCGCTGGCCACTCTAGCGGCGCGCCTCCTACTGCCACGAGTCTTGGAGCTCGTCGCCAGGCTCTCTGCCCAGGCAAGTTCCCCGATTTGTAGTGCTTCAGGACTCTGAAATGTGCGCGGTCTGAGCGGCTGGATGGTAAGCCCCACCCTTCTGTGGAGTAAATTCAGGCAAGAGCTTTACTGTCCAAACGGCGGTATAGGAATTGCTTCCGTGCTCAAGGACAACATTCATGCTGCTCACTGTTTGGTTGTATGATGCTCCATCTCTGACGTGTGTAGTCGTGTGCTGCAGTCCAACGAGTTGTTCCAGCTGTTCGCAATCGCCTTCTGCCTAGCCGTGGCCTGGGTGAGCCAACCGTTTTGCTTCCTGCAACGTTCAGAAGACCTGGCTTCCTGCCAAGTTTGGGGATCGTATGTCACAGGGGGCTTCATCAGTGATGACACGAGCTTTGCCCAGGGTTCCAGCTGGTTGGGGAAGTCGTATCCCCCAGAAACCCTGCTTTGAGCGTTTAGTGCTATTGATATGTCTGCACAAGAGGATGTGGGGCACACAGATGTTTCAAACGAAGCACGGTTGTCCTGCTCGCTCACTCGACTTTTCTTGCTTACTCTGTCTCTCCTCGAAATCCGAGTGTGCCTTCTATCTGGACGATCCAGATCCTGTTCGAGTCGTTGGGAATGGGATCTGACTTGTACACCCAGGAATCTGCATTCAACATCCTAAATCACAAACCTGAGATGCTGAAGCTTCAACAGACAACCCTCAATGTTGCGCGTTTGCAGGTCACGGACCAGTGCGGCCTGAGTGTGGAGCTGGGGGCCTTTGCGGCCGGTGTCATGATCTCATCCACGCAGTACCAAGAGCACACCTTGCATCAGGTGCGGCCTCTCCTATTCCGCCCTCTGGCTCTATCCGTATTCTCAACTGCTGGGTGGCGGTTGGTCTGCATGCTCTCATGTTTGCTGACTTTGTGGAACACTGTTATTAAACTCGACGAAAGTCCGACGAAGGTCAAAGTATGACTCCTGCTGTCCCTCAACATGTTGTTTCTAACGATGCTCCTTGCTTTGGATAAGCCCGTGTTTGTCTCTGCTGTCTTTTTTCTCTGCTTGAGTCAGCGTTCGAATCTTGGAGTCTCATCTTTTCCTGTCTATCATTTTCCGCCTTTTGTTTGTAGCTGATGGCTTGCTCTTGCAATCCGCGTTTTCTACCCTTTTTTGTGCGAAAAGTGCTTTCTTCCGAGTCTACCAACCCTGTGAAGGTAGGAGCTTGGTGGTTGAGCCATGAATTGTTCTCCTTGCTGGCATTGTGGAGCTCTAGAGTCCGGTTCTTCAGAAGACCATATTCCCGCACTCTCGTTTGAGAACTTAGCACATTCCGCCTGCAATCCCAGATTCTTTTGGCAAAGAGGTTTTGATTTCTCCAGCGTCCTGAAGCTATGGTCGACGGCTTAGGCGGAGCTGCTGCAAAGTGTGTTTGAGGCACTTGCCTAGACACAAAACTCCGCAACATGACAAGTTTCAAGCTTGAAATCAACTCTTGTTAATTCTCGTGTTGGTTGCAGGTGGAGCCGGTGCGCAACGTGTTTGCAGCGCTGTTCCTCAGCAGCATTGGGATGCTGATGAACCCCACTTTCCTGTGGCAGCACAAGGACATTCTCTGCCTCTCTGTCGTCCTTGTGTTCGTCGTCAAGACCACTCTCGTCACCACTGTTGTGCGCGGCTTTGGCTACTCGTTGCGCACCGCACTGATGGTCAGGATCCTTGGACCTGTGAACTGCTAGGATCCAAAAATAAGTTCTGGTTCGTACTTGTAACTTGTCGAAAGGTTCTTCCAGATCATTGCCGTGCACGTCTTCCCCTCATCCTGTGCAGATTGCCATTTGGACTTCCTTCTGGAAACAGGGTTCAACAGCAGGTTGCAGATTTACAGTGCATGAAACTTCGATGTTCGGAAGATCGTGATGCTTAGAGCTGGCGTTAAGTATTGTGCCCTACCTGGTGCCCATCGAACAGTTCCGAACAAGTCACTGCAGAGTTATCTCCAGTTTTGAAGCTGCCCCCTGCTATAGTCCCCTTCACTGAAGCCGCTTTAACCCTATTGCTGCCCCCGCTGACTCCCTCTTCCATGCGTAGGTCGGCATCTCGCTGGCCCAGATCGGCGAATTTGCGTTTGTCTTGCTCAGTCGAGCGTCCAACGTGAATCTGATTGAGGTGCGCACTCTGCAGACAGGCCCCGGAACACAGTTTCCCAAGGTGTTAAGAATATAGGCTTAGACCTTGGGCGTTTAGTGTTCAAACCTTTAGGAGCTCAGGAACCCCCGGATTCCGGCATCTGGGGCTAATATTTATCTAACCTCCAAGACTCTTTGCTTTCAGTATGCATCTTTGGTTGCAAGGTTCTGCCGTTGTGGGCGGCAGCTTTGAGCTTTTCTCGCTTGCGCTGCACCTCGCATTGTCTTGCTTGGAAAGATTGCAGGGGTCTGCTATCCTTCAGCCCCAGGCTTGCATCGGTGCGGAATCTAGAAGCATGGCCACTAGCTGAAGTAACTCCGAAGCGAAATATTCTGGTCTGCTCAACGAACTAGTCATCTGGGTGCCCTTAGGTTAATGCGACAACTGCTAATGCATGCGCCGCGTGCTTGCAGCGGCGGGTTTACTTATTGCTACTGGGAACTACTGCCCTGAGTCTGGTAAGTCCCTGCTCTGCTTGTCAGGTCTGCTCATGGCCTCGTGTTTTCGGAGCGTAAAGCAGAAAGGGAGCAAAGTTGCAAAAGGATTCCGCTAACTGCTACTACTTTTGCTACTTTCTATGTGGATCAGCGCGTAAGTGCGTTCCAATTAGATTGCTTTTGTTCGGGCTTATGCTCGTTTGTGTTGACACTTCGTGTTGAACGGCCGGAGGGATCAGCCTAGAGATTGTGGAGATGCTCTGCCACAAAATACAGATGCTCTCTTTCGTGGATACTTCTGAACTTTTGGATTTGCTTGACGTTTTGTACGTACGGCCCAATGGATCGATCACAGAGGACTCAACCTCATGATATTTTGCCGGCTAATCGACTGATAACAGTGGATTTTCTGAAGAGACAATCTCATCAAGGAGTGCTTGGAAAAGAAACTTCAGTTCTCCGGCGTATTCAGCCAAAGAGGTGGCTTGCCTGCTGGCAATGCCATAACGCGTGGAGAATCTCGATAATTTCTGGAGCCTTGCCATCAAACGCTTCCGTTAAGACAACAGCTTCCGGAAACCGGCGATATTTTCATGAAGAGCAACTCACTTGGCATTCCGTGTGCAAAGCCGATTGCTCCTTTCCGTCTTGTGCAGGTAACCACTCCAATCATGTTCCGGTTGATGCCTAGTATTATCAACTGCGGGGTGTCGTTGAACTGGCTTCGGCCAGAGCAAGACACGGGAAGGTCGCGAGAGGTAGGTCGCCTCCAGCTGCCTCGTTGAGCGCACGCCTTCTGTGAGTGCGCCCAAGAAAGTCTGCTGGGCGGCAGCATCTTTTGGCCGAAGCTCGACTTTCTGAAATGTGGGGAAAAGTTGCAAATATTCGAAGCTGAAATTTTGCCATCGTAACTTCGTCAGTGGCATTATTGGGGTGTCTATTTGCAGGTCGTTAAGCTAGAAGCCAATGGTTCTGAGCAAGCTGACTGGGAGACAGAGCTTACGCTTTTACAAAGGGAGTCGCAATAGCACCCTGGAACATGCGTTCACTATACAGTCCTTTTGTCCCATGTCCTTGATGTATTTGCTGCTAAATGAGTGGCGCACACTCATTAGACAGACACGGACTGAAAAAAAAGTTGCTTATATGCTTATATTACAGTGATGTAGCTTGTAAAGTGTGTAACTACTTGAAGGATAGTTGTCATCCTGACCCTGTACTTGCTAGAGTTGGCATGGTCTTGCCCGCATGTATGACAGGCTTCTAATCCGGACAACTTATGTAGCGAGTTCGCTCCAATTTAATTATCTGCGAGCCATGTTAGGCGCGGCAGTCTCGCAGTCCCATAGCTCAACAATATATGCTGCAAAGTCTGACCAGACCGCGAATCTATGTAGTGACGAGAATAATAGCATAACAGCATCTAGCGACGACAAGCATGACATGTAATCCTAATCAAATGGCGACTATGGACGCATTTGTATGGTCACCGTCTCATGCTTTATCAATGCCTTGAGCCACAAAACTATTCATGATGATGCTGTCGGTTTTTGCATTGCATCAAGAGTTCACTTTGCTAGCTGACCTGGTCATCATTTGCGAGAGGCCAGCTTACATTTGAGAAAGGTACAATTCCCTGCAACCGTCAATAGCTGCAGGTCGGGAGTGGGCGTTGGCACAAGCAGTCCGGCCCCACTGAAGGGGTGGACATGGACCCCGGCGAAAATTCAAAGGGTCGGGCCGGCCATCGCCGGAGGCGATAAGGGCTCGGGCCCGCAGGGCCCGACCCCTTATGGTTCCTCAGCGCGACATTGTTGCGGCGGAGCCGCAGCGGTGCCAATTCGGGTTGCTACAACTGCTTCTTTCGTAGAGGAACTGTTTAAATGTTCGGGTCACTTTCGATACAGCTTCCGGGCATTCTAAACAGCAATTCGGGCTCCGTTTCATCGAAATCGTTGAATTTACCTTATAGCCTAAGCCCATGTCGCCGCGTTTCCCGGGGGCGCCGCTGAAGCTGAGATTTCAAAGTATGTGTCCTGGCGGGCCACGGCCGCTGCTGCACAGCGCATATATAGTACCTAATAAATAGTTAACGTGGACTCTGACGAGGGATATCTATGACCATGCAGTATCTACTATCACTTGAAACTTGGATATAGCGCACTGTGGCACTGCTTTTTATATCGATGTTGTTCAAAAATTGTAGGACTAGGGCATCGTGATAAAGAGTAAGCTCCAGAATGGGTAGTGCAGATTTGAAATCAAGCCGGATGGAATCATGGCACGGGCGCGGTCACGAGCCGCAACTTATTTTGTAAATCTGTGCCATCTACACCTTGTATTGGCACGTTGGCAGCCATGTACATACGCAGTTTTACAAACATGTGAATGGACTAATGCCAATCGTTCCTCCAGATCAGAGATACATTCGACTACGAGGTCCTTGTAATGTTTTTGACGTACTGGCACATCATGAATCGGCGACCATGCTCTGAATATTGTTATCACTGTTAAAGCCGCAAACCTATGGCAGACCAAGTCGAGACACATGAATCCGCATGCTCAGAATTGACCCACCAAATATCTAGGACTTAAGGGTGTCATCATGGAAGCTTTGAGGATGCATCGCTCTTGTCCTAATAGCCGCCAGGTGCAAGTAAGTCACGTCTCGACTTTGTGCATCTCAAAGAGCAGCAAAGCAACTTTTAAAGAGCGCTCGCGTGCATCTCCAATATTGGCCTTTCAGAGAGCGTCATGAGCATTGAAGGGACTTTACTTGGCACCTGAGCTGGGAAAAACAATCACATCAGCACATTCCTTCTGTGGCCCTCCTTGTTCCAATAGACGGGACCCGACCTATGAACATCCCCAATTGTACGAACTACCCCCCAGCCCCCTTGTGCCACCGAGCTGGCCCTTCGAATGTGGGCCCTGCATCAATGAAAAAATATCAGGACATCAGAATATCTTGCAAACACGTCGTTTAGCGCAACCAAAGCAGGGAACACATTCAGGGACGCTTGTGCGTGAACGTACATTATTTTGTTTTCTAAATGTGCAACTCTGATCTGCAAGGAAACACAGGAAGCCCCGACATTTTCAGAGCGAGAAACGTATCTGCTTAAACCGAAGTGGCCACGCAGACTCACCAAAATCGCAAAATCCCGTTGGAGATTTTCAGCCAACGATTTGTGCCTCAACATACGTTGGGAAATGTGTTGCAGATAATCCCGACATGACACAGCAATCTCTGGACATGAAGATGAAGAAGAGCGAACCTTGCACAAAATGGCGGCGCCGTACCTTGGCCTGGCAAAGTTCTCTCCGCTCTGGGTCAAATGAGGCCCAGCTTCTGGTCTGCAAAACAGAAGGACAAAAAAGGACGTTCTGAAGCTACTACTTTCAAAGGTGGATCGAATATGGCTTTGCAAGAAATTCAAGACATTGAGGATGGCCTGATGCAAGTAAACAGTAGTCGTAATGCATATCTCTGGGCCAGTATCTTCACTGGAGAAGCCAGTGATGTTGCTTTGGCATTAAGAATGAAAGTACTTGTTGATGTGAAGCTTAAAAGTTCATTAAGGTAATCCCTGCGCAACTGCCAAGACAAACGCTTCAAGCAAGCACAAGGGCCATCCGCAGTGACCAGGCTGGTTTGAAGAGGGCCCACTGGGCCACTAATGACAGGGATGCATGTAACACTCCTCCTCGAAGTTCACCGCGGATCCATTTACAGGGAGTGGCCTGCCATATCAATAGCGTAACAGATTGTAGCATTCTAAGCAGCCACCCCTTCAAGAACGATGCCCTGATGGAACATTTCTAAATATCAGCTGGAGTCCTCTCACCTTACAGTGGGTGAATGCAGGGTTGTAAACGCGCCCCTCTTCTCTCAATTGTACTGCCGCGGGCGCGTGACAACGCGCAACAGGACTTCATCCGCTGCTACAACCTTTATGGCCCATTCTAAAGTCTTTAGCCTGCCCAGTCTCCGGGCGTGATTACCTGTAGGAATAAGAAAGTGCTTGTCGACAGTCTTTACAGTCAAAAATAAACCGTACAAGTTGGCGCTCTTCTATTGCTATTGTCGCGCCTTCCTTGACAATTTTGCAGGTTATTGCACTAACAACAACGAGACTTTCTTTCGCCCCAGTAAATTTGTGATCAAGGTGTTGCTGCCATTGCCTTCATGCTACCAAGACTTGTGCTACTACTGGGGCTTAAAAACCATTTGCCCTCCATTCCAATTGAAACCAGCATTCTTGAATAGCAGATTAAAAGGTCTCGTTTCAACATGCGAACGCGTTTTGCTCGCTGCTACCCCCAGCTTTCAGCTTACCACAATAAGGATATTACATCGCTGACAATCCTAGTCATTTACTGTTTGGTAAGACGTCTTACATTCCAAAAGAATTGCTCAGACCCCTGTCTTGCTGATGGCTGATCATCGTGACAAATGTAAGAAAAGTTCCGACATAGAATTGACAAGCCAGGCCTGTGCTGGCTTCTTGACTTGATACACTCTGCACAGTGCCCACGTAATTGAGGGACTAGGAGACATTTCTGATCTTTCGATTGGAAGACACATTGGTCCAGCCTGGTTTTTCAAGGACAGAAAAGTCTGGTTCCAACAAACAGATACTATGTGGACACTGTGATCCGTTCAAAGATGGCAATGCAATCTAATCTCTGACAAGAGGCAGCTTCAACGATCAAAGGCACTGGTGGACACACAGGCAGCAGAATAAGGTCGATAGTACAAACATACTTTTGAAGTTTCTGGAGAAGAGACTCAGAAAGGAATACTCAAAGCATAGGAGAGCACCCAGCAAGATCGTATCGCTTCAGTCAATCTACTTGCACGTAAGTGGTCGCTGAAGGTAGAACTGCCGGAGAACGTGCACAGAAAATTCGTGTATACAAGCCTGAAAACCTTGAAAACATGCTGAGTCACGGCGCCAGGTCACATCAGGTGAAAGGAACAGCAGTCATTGGAATACGTTGCATGTTAAGATGCAAAATGCTCAGCACCACAGAATATTTGATCATATCAGGAACGTCTGGCAGCTCACCCTGAGTGCTCTGCCTGCTAAACAGGCCACACTTTCCATGATCTTGCAGAGCTCTCCTCTGCCTTGTTGCATTTCAGCTCTTGCAGAGCCGCCTTTCGGGCATCTTTTAGTTGGCAATTGTGCCCAATTCCAAGGGATGACTTTCATGCCTGCCGCCATTCAGCCGCTCGACCCAGACGGTGTGCAATCTGGCCTGAGGCAGCATGCTCAGAGCTCTTTGAAGGCTGCCAAGCCGCTATTTCGACCATGGACTCATGCTGCATTGCAATAGCACGGCTGGCAACTTGCAAGGCTAAGCTCCTGATTCTTGCGGCGCCTTCCAACTTCCGAGGCTTCACAGAGGCTAGAGCATTGGCAGCGCTGCCAGCGTGGCACCTTCTAAAATTTGAGTACTTCCTTACCTCTGCGCCGCTAGATGACCCTGCAAAAGTTTCTTCTACCGTCCGATGGACGCCCCTTTTCACAGGTTGGGAAGTTATGTGACTCGTCCGATCGATTTCCGGGAGATGCGGAGAAGTTACAAGAAGTTATTTCGACCGCAAGATTCAGTACCTGAGAAGTTTTGAAGGTTATCGAAGCCGTCCGATGCCTCTTCCGAAAGAACTTCTGATTGGTCCGGCCGGCCCGACGCTCAAAAACTTCCCGGGGACCGGGACCCCCCCCGACCCCGGCGACCCCATCAGGCCGGCAGTTTTGAGTTGTGTCATGCTTGGGGCGGCGACCAGTTGAGTCAAGCGGTTCCAAATAGGTACTACCGAGTCGGGTCTTGTCGCCGACTCGAGCGCCGTACAAAATTGAAGTCGTGACTCCGACTCGTACCGTGTACGGTCAATTTCGATGATGTCATAGTGTATTCTCTAGAGAGGACCACCTCCGTAGCAAGCCCACTTGACCGCGGGGTTGCAACTAGAGCGAGGTCGAGTAGCGATGCAGTAGTTCCGGGGTTACAAGCACAGTCACCGGGGGTACCTGTCTGTAAACCGCGGGGGACTATCTCATCTACGCAGCGGAAGTCGATGGTGGCAGGCCCTTGACCAGGCTAGCCTAGCAAACAGTAGTAGTATTCAACACATGCTCAAATGTCCCATACCATTTGAGTCTCGCTCCAGCTTAAGGAGTCGAGGTCACATGCAATACTTTCAATTTCACCACACACACATACAGCCTTGCAAACGTGTTGAGCCCCGTCTCATGTCAAGCCACCATATCGGGAGGTCCCCTTCGGTTGCCATGGGTGCACATACCTGCCATGCGGATGCCACCTGCTGAATAGCGCTGGAAAGACTGAATGGAGCTGCGGATAAATGGCTAACGGATGAACAATGCTTCCGGTTATAGACCGGTGTCCTTAAGAGATCGGCGGAGAACACACTGCTACACTGCGGTACCGTGCTGAAAACACTGGCAGCGGACCCTTCCTGCTCACTACAACGGCGCTTTACAAGGATGCTGTCTAACGAGAGAAGTTGGAATGGATGCCTAATCGTCAAGTCCTATCGTCCTAGAAGCTGGGCTAATGGAGTATGAAGTTACGTAACTACTCAGTAACGGAGTCTGTCCGGAGTTATCACTTGCTCCCTGAAGTCCCGAAGGTCTCTGGAGAACCTGCACAAGGACCAAAATAGCCTTAGCGTAGATTCTCAGTGTGGTACTGAGTCACTTTGCAAGGTGACGGAACTCCGGAACTAATCACTGTGGTAGTATTCTGGACCTACTCCGCGCTTCGTAGCCTAGACTTCCTATTTGAAATCAAAAGACAAGATCTACCTTTGTCATCGTACGGCCCCGGTCTGTATGGAACGACCGCTGAAATCCAATCTTACGGCTAAGGTTTACTCTACGCGGGGAGTTTCACCCCCGTAGGTCCTAATCCTTAAACCCCGGATCCTGCTGGATTGATCCGGTGTTCAGGCCCCGGAGGCGCGACTGCGGAGCCGCGTACTATCTGCACCTGTCTCCTGTCGCCACGTGGCAATCTTTCACTGGTCGGTACACCTGGTGGGGCCCTTGATGGAGCGGGCCTATACAGAGAGCACAGCTGTATTCTCTATCCCCTCGCTAAGAGCTCGTCCCGGAGCGAGGAGAATCATTGAGACTTACATGTAAATGGTAGAATGAAGATGTTGTCTAGGGCGCAACGTCCCAGCCTGTCTGAAGACGAGCCTGGGTAGCGCCAATCATGTTGCGCAGTCGCAGCGCCCCCGTGGTGGGGCGCTCCGCCGCGGTCGTGATGACGGAAGAGGCAGGAGACCTCTCCCTTGTCCTGGTGCGGCCCGAATCGGTGAAATGCTTGGGTGGCGGGGGTCCCAACCGCCGTGATGCCTCACCACGCCCGGAGTGTTCACGCTCCGGGGAGAAGCCTGCCAGCTTCTTCATTCGCTTGGGATTCCCCTTCATAAACTCCGCCACTTCTTCGTGGATTTTCTCCGTCTCCCGTCTAGCCACGGCCATCTTGGTGTGCTCCGCCACGGCAATCTGCATGCGTAGGTTAGAAATCTCCATTTCCTTTTGGGCCAGCGCCGCGCAGTCGCTCTGTTCCCCCGCCGCTGCATCTGCCCCGCGGAGTGCCTGTACTGCGAGTTCAAGCGCTTCCTTCGTTCGCTCCGCCGTTTTAACCTGTTCGCGGAGCTGGTTCACTGTCTTGATTGCCTCGACCACGGTGATTCCTGTGGGGATCTCGTCGAAACGAGTGCGCTTTTGCGCGGTCACCGGGGCACCGTAAAGGCGGTCGAAGGCGGAGGGTTTAGGTGTAGGGAGGGGTCCGAGGCGAGCTTGCACCGCTGTCGAAGGATCGCGTAGCGGGGAGGTCACCTCGTCGTTCTTCTCTCGGGAAAGGGGTCTGGGGCCTAAACGGTTTTTTCACCCCGTTGGGGTTTTGGGGCTCCGTCTTGGGGCTGTGACTGAGGGCGTCGTTTCTGACGGGGCCAAGTCGCTCACGAACGGGGATGGTCGTGAGGGACGGGCCCAGACGGTGTTTCAGCGGGGTCTTTTCGCCGCCGGAAGGCCCGGACAGTCTCTCCTGGACTGGTCTCTTCTGGGGGATTAGTCTGCTCCGCACTGGGGGTTTGGCTCCGTTTGTAACCCCGCCTTTCGGGCGCCCTTCTGGCGACGGGAACTTGCCATCCCCCTTGGATGCGGAGGGCGGCCCCGGTTTGGGCGCGTCGGGGTCGGTCTCCGTGGGGCTCTCCTCCTCTCCCTCCCCCAGGTCCGCGAAGTCGTCCGGCTCATCCGTCGAGTAACACACCTGCTCTGACCCCTCTGGTTCGAACACGTCGGGGTCGAACCGATAAACGGCTGGGGGGAAAGTCTCTGTACGAGCTGGGCGCGTAAGTACTGGGGAGACAGAGCGATACCTTACCGCGCGTCCGGGGGGCGTTCCGGACGGCGAGCTGGAGCGTCCGCTGGAAACGGAACGACTCGCGGAGCGTCCCCGTCGTGTCCGCTCCTCGGATGAGGACTGCGAGACCCCGCGCCGGGGGGAAGGAGACCTGAACCCGTGCAAGTTGCGCGGTTGCGCGCCGCTAAATCGCCATGTGAGGTGTCCGGGGTCCAGCGCCGCTGTCTGCTGAACTTCGCCCAGGCCGGCAGTTGGGGACTTATCTCGGGGCTTGTCGGAGCCCCCCTGTTCTCCGCCTTCTTCACCGCCCTGCTCGTCTCCGCCTTCCGGAGTCCCCTCTCTCGCACCCGGGCTTCCTCCTTTCCCCCCCGGCACACCGCCTTCTTCCTCATACTCCGGCGCTCCCTTGTCCCCGCCTCCTTCCTCATGTTCCTCCTCTTCTTCTTCCCGCTCGGCGTCGTCGCGCTCCTTGTCCCGCTTATCACAGTCGCTGGGTTTGTTTTCAGAGTTCCTCCAGAAACGGAGAACCTCCGCCAGGTCCTGTCTTTTGAGGACGCCGTTTGCCAGCCTGACAAAGATGTTGGCGGCATCTCGAGAGAGGGGGGCGACTGCCGTGGCGATCTGCAGGAACAACTCGAAGAGAGGCGACTCCGTCGCGTCGAGGGGGTTGAGGGTAATCTGTGGGATGAGGTCGTCCATCTCCGCCAAGAAGGCGTACCAGTCCTTGTTCCGGAAATTTGCGGGGAGTTTGCCGCCGGGGAGGAGGTGAGCATCAACTGGCTCACGTTCTCGTCAAATCTGTCCGGACCTCCGGCGATGAGGTTTCTGGCGAAAACAACCAGAGCAGACAGCCTCGTCGCTGGCCCCGGCGCCGGGCTCCGCGTCGGGCCTCGTTTCTTCCCTCTCCTCGCCACTTCTTCTGCTGGCCCTTCCGCCTTCCGCTTCGACCCGGGGGTCTCCCTGGCGGCCTCCTGCTGCTGCGTTCTGAGGGTCTCCTGGCGCTCCTCTGCCAGGCTTGGGAATACGGGGAGCTCCGTCTTGCCATAGATGCAGACCACGTCGTCTTCGTTTCCCTGTTGATCCCAAAGCTCCGCTACCCAGGTCTGGATGCCCTTTGGCGCGCACGGGGAAGTGTAGGGGTAGAGGTCATCTGGTAGCCTGAAATCCTCGAACCACCGGTAGGGATGTGTAAGGTTGTTGAACTCCGTCACGGCGGCTTCCGGGAAGGGGACCAGCCGGCGGTCGAGCCAGGAGATGTACTCGGAGTAGATGCTGATCTGGGGGATGTTGGTTTTAGGCTTCCCCTGTTCCGGCGGAGTCTGGTAAAACCCAGGGGTGAAGACCATCCCCGCGGGGGACTCGGTGGAAGAGAGCTCGCGGCAGAGGTAGCGTTCCTCTCCTTTCTTGGCGTAGGTTCGGGCCTCCATAATGTGGTAGCGCACCGCCCGGAACTGCGATACGGGGCAAAACTGTGGAGTCCAATCCCCGCCCTGGTACCCCCCCATAAATCTGTAGAATATGAAGCGGGTGTTGTTGGCCGGAACTGGTTTTGTTCCGTCAACGGCGAACGCCGCGGCCATCGCGTCTATGTCAGAGGCGGAGTGGAGGAGGTCCACAGGGCAGGGTCCACCCCCGTCGGGAAGATCCGGGAAGTCACAGAACGCCGTGAACCAGACGCCGGCAAACCTGTTGTTGCTGTCATCAATGACGAACAGCGGGTCACCGGGGGTCAGAGTTTTGGGGTCCACCGCGTGCTGTCGAGGAATCTCCCACCTAGTGAACTTGAAGTATTTTCCGTCCGGTGTGGGAACGGGGGGGAGGAAGATCCGCAGCCCGAGGGAGAAGTAGATGGGGAGGGTGTGGAAGACCTTCTGTCCGGGGTCCAAGACCGGGGCTTTGTGGCCATTCAGTTTCTCCTTAGAGAGAACTTCCCCAAGGGTGTCCATCTCCGTGGTCAGCTTGTCCAGGTTGGAGCGGAACTTCTCCATGTCCTCCTTAGTCCGGAGGTCCCCAACTCTGGAGAGGGTTACCGCGCCTTTGCCATCCTTGCGGAGGTAGAGGGTGGGGATAAAGTCGTTACGCTCCAGTTCGCTCACGCTCTCGCCCCGAAAAAGAACAAACTTTCCGGTTTCGGTCAGAAGTCCCGCTGATTCCCCCACCGCTGTGGGCCCCTGGACTACCTACTTGGCTAGCCTTCGAAACGCCGATTCGTTGAAACTGACGTACAGGGGGTTTTTGGTCTGGGGGTCCTGTCCCTGGGGGTAGGCCGCTGCCCAAGTCGCCAGCCTGCGAGCCACCTGCTGGGTCATCCCGTCGCTGTCTCGCATGGGGTTGCCCTGGGAGATGAGGAGGGATGGCTGTCCCGGTGTGTCAGTGGTGGCTAGTCCCGGGAAATCCCTTTTAAGGACTGTCAGGGCGTACCCGGTGAGGGACGTGGAAAGTTTTAGCTTGGGCTGAGGGGGGGGCTGGTAGTCACTCCGGAGTTTCTTGAACTCTTGGGCAACTGCCAGCTGCTGGGCCTGACGTTTGTTCAGAACAAAAGTCCGGAGTGAGGAGAGGTTCCAGGTCTGGGGCGGGGGTCTCTGGGAAGCGGGGGAGGGGGGACCTGTTGTGGTAACAGCGGCCATGGCCCTCTGCAATCCTCTGGTGGCAGGTCTGGACCGGGGCTTCTCCGTGGTGATCTGGGGGATCTCCTCAACGTCTGCCTCCTCACCAGCTCCGGAGGGTCCTGCTCCCTGCTCAAAAGAGGAGAAGATGGTTGGATATCTCACGGAGGTGACCACTGCCTGCGGTTTGGGTGTTGCTGACCTGGATTTGCGGGCCTGCTTCCTAGCACCTGCAGCAGTCATCTGTGCAATAGGTACTTGGCTTCCTGTGAGTATCTCCGTATCCGGTGGGGAGGGGGGTGGAACCTGCTTTGGTTTGGGTTTGGATTTGGGCTTGGGGAGGATGACCGCCGTCTGCAACCGGTTGGGGTTCTGCTCATAGTATTGGTAGAACTCAGAGGAATCAAAATCCTCCGGTAAGCACACAACCACCTGCACCTGGCTTAAAACATGGGGAGCCACCTGCTCCTCCTGCAACCCCGGAAAGACAGACCCAATCACATTCAGAGCCTCCGACTCCAGTGTCTCCTTGTTGCTACTCTCCCTCTTTCCTTTGAACAATGCAATGGCACTTTCCCAAACATCCTTCTTCTCACCATCAAACAACGCCGGGATGTCCCCGTAACCCTGTCTGAATGAGTCTTCCGGGGCTGGTCTCCACACTCCCTCCTGCTGCTTCCCTGTATACTGAGCATGCCCCGGAGTCTCCTCTGCCTCCTCTGCCATCCCTCCCTGCTGGGGTGAACTACCTGCTGGCGGTATCAACACCGCGGACGCTGCTGCCCATAGGGCCTCCAACCTGTTGGGTCTCTTGGCGCTGACTGGTGGGGAGGTTGCAATGCCTTTCTGAAAGTTGGCGCCCTTTTCCCTCTTACGCTTGTTCAACTTGAACCCTGGATCTGTGTCCACTTGAATCTTTGGTGATTGAGGAGTGGGATGCAAGTCTCCTGCCTGCCTGGGGTTCTCCGGTGGATTTCCCCTGGGAGCTCTCAGAGACTGATCCTTACTAGTCATGGCACCAATGATGTGACAGGTTCCTATTCCCCCGGTCACTCTTTCAAATCCCAGTCAGCCCTGCAACTTGCCGCGCCGGGATATCCGCTGAGTAGAAGGTTGATGTGACAGGCTGCGGTCTGAATCCGGGGCAATAAATGCGGGGCTTGGCAATCTGCAAAATGACGACTCCGGGGTCTACCGCGGAGTTTGTTACGCCCGGCGCCTGTGTCGATGGTCGCGCGGTTTCAATTGCAGGGTTTGACGGGGTTTTGGTCCGCCGTTTCCTGGTAACTCCGGGAAGAAGCTCCGGAGTAAGCTCCGGGTAAAAGCTCCGGAGTTTGGGCTCGCTAGTCGGGCCGGTAAATTTAGTCTCGATCGCCGGTCAACCTAAGTCCCTAGGATTTTAACTCCGCGCGTCGGGGATATCGACGCGGAAGCCGCGCGGTGTAGTGTCGCGCGTACTACTACTCCTGGGCCGCCGCGCGCGGCTGATAGGGGTGTAGCATAACAATGTGACGCGTCCAGCGCTGTCCGGTCTGGTCCTCAAGCACTGCCACCTGCGCAGCCTCGTCATAGAAGTAGAGAAACCTGTAGGGTCCCTCCCATCCGGTGTCAAACTTGTGCTCGCGCTTGGCCTTTTTCATGATGACCAGCTGTCCGGGGACAAGGTTGGCTACCCTATAGATTCCCCGGTGTTGCCGGCGTTGATAGGCCGCCTCAGCGCGAATCTATGATATGTCCCTGTTTGCAGCCGCGGTTGCGCGCATGTTGGCTTGATGCGCTTGTCTGAGAAGAATGTTGAGCCTCCTGGACTCGCACAAGCCGCGCACTGCTCCGTCAAACTCCTCCTCTGCTCGCGCCTCGCCTTCCGCGGAGGTGGGTTCCTGAATCCTGTACCGGGTCTGCAGGAGGCGCTCCGCTGGGAGCACCGGGAGTCTGCCGTAAATGATCTCAAAGGGGCTCAACCTGGTGGCTGTACGGTAACAGATTCGCACTACTAGGAGTGCTTCAAAGATGTGCGTTGCCCACTCAAGTCCGTGCTGGAGGATGAGCTTCCGGATGTTCTTTGTGACCAGCTTCACCGAGGCCTCCGCCCCGCCGTTCATGCGGGGGCAGTAGGCTATGATGAGTTGCACGAGCGATCCCATCTGGTCGCATAGCTCCTTGACCTCGCCTACGCAAGCGTCGTTGTCCATCACGATGACGGCGGGGCACGCGTGCGCTGCAAACAAGTCCATTTTGAGGAAGGCAGCCACCTCCTTCGAGTCCTTGCTCCGGCCAAGTCCGGCGCCGATCCATCCGAAGAAGTAGTCATACCAGATATAAACGTACTCGAAGCCTTCCGACATCCTGGGGAAGGGTCCGAGCAGGTCAAACCCGACCTTTTCCAGGGGGAGGTCGACCTCCGTGCTGGTTAGAGTGCGGCCGTCTGTACGCTCTGTGGTGGGCTGATCAGTCATCTGGCAGGCAGCGCAGGTCGCGATGTAATCCCTGATCTCCTCGTACATACGTTTCCAGAAGAAGCGTTCCTTGATCAGGCGCCGTGTCTTTGGGATGCTGGGGTGTCCTCCCAGGTCGTGCATCTGTTTGAGCACCAACTCCTTCTCTTTTGTCGAAAGAACCGCTCGTCTGGTCGTAGGTCCGGGGATCTGGTTGGGTTTCCTGCGGGGCCTGTCTAACTTCCACAGCCTGCCGTTGAGATACTCATAGCTGGGCCCTGTCGCGGATCTGTCGTCTAGCTTCCTTTCGCTGCTTGACGTTGAGCTCCGTAAGATCTGGGAGCTGACCCCGGCACAAGTAGGCGACCACCTGTGGATCCTCAATCAAATATTCCTCTGGTTCGGGGAGGGGTAAGTTGGTCAGGTCAAAAGCCGCTGAGGCCGCGGTCTCCGCTGCCGGGCCCTCCTCAATCCCCTCGCTAAGCGCAGGCTGGCTGCGATTGCGGAGGTTGTCTCGGACCGCAGATATGATGTTCTCAGTGTAGTCCTCCCTCATATTCAGGATAGCCTTTTTGGCTTCGGCGAGGACCTCGTCCGGGGGCACACCGGGGCAGGCGGTGAGAATGGTTATGGCGACCCTTTCGACAAGGGTCGACTGGGACAACGGGGTCTGGTATCCTCCGTTTCGGACGAAGTTCCGCTGTCTCGTTAGTACCTGCAGTACATCAGCGTCAAACCCCTCCGGTTCTTTTCTCATCCTGTCTGCCCTGGTCGAGCGCGTGGCACCTTCCAAAATCTGCTGTGTGTCCCAGCCGAGATGCTGGTCCAGGTTGCCCGTGAGCATGGCAATCATTTCTTCTTCCTCCGTAGACGTCGTCTCTCTTTCATGTGCCTGCGTTTGCAAAAGCGCGAAGCGGTCAGCGGAAGGCGTCTCGTGGGCGCTCCCCTGTGCTGGCTCCATTGCGCCGATGGGCGGCTCGTCTAGAGACTGCGTCTGTGCCTGTGAAAGGAAGTTAGCGATGGGCAGATCGGATGCCTGTGTTTCAGTCGTTTACTGCGGCGTTCCAAGGTCTCCGCCAAAGTCCGGTGTCTCTCTCTCCTGTGCCTGCGTCTGCGGCAGCGTGGAGTGATCAGCAGGCGGCGTCTTTGAGACTCCCCTTAGTGCTGGCTCCTCCGTCGGGCGGCTCGTCCAGAGACTCCGTTCCTGGCGCTCGTTCCAAGTCTTCAGCGGGCGGCAAGTCGGGTGCCTGCGTCTGCGCTCTCTGTACCCCTTGTCCGGGGTCTTCCAGCGTCATATGAAACACCACTGGGCACTCGTCATCAGACCAAGGTCGGAAGAACAAGTTCTCGTCCGTGTCTGGGATTGTATCCGTCTCCTCATCGAAAAAAGTCGTCGCGGCCTGTACGGTTGAGGGGATCTTCCTCTGATTCGTCCTCCTGTATGGTCTTGACCGGGGCTCCTGCGGGGCTCACGTCCGGGGCTTCGAGTTCCATCTCCGTTTCTTTGTCCCTGTCGGGTACCGGGGTAAAGAGCTCAAGTGGTTCAAACTCCATCCCTCGCAGAAGTCGCCGTCCCAAGCGACCTGCAAAATCCGGACATGAGGGTGGGTGGGTGGGTACTCGAAGTCCGGAGCCGCGTAGCTGGGGAGTTCGTCGGGGTCTTCGTTGGAGGCCCAGGGAAGGGTTTCGACGGGGTTCCTGGAGAGGGGGTCGACGTTGGAGTGCAGCCGGCCGGGGCGGTAGATGACCTTGAAGTTGAACTCCAGCAGCTTACAATGCCAGCGGGCGAGCCGTCCTGTGAGGTTGGTCAGCTGATGCAGCCAGACCAGCGGATTATGGTCGACTCGTACGGTAAACGTTGGTCCGCCGTACAGGTGGGAGCGGAACTTGTCGGTGATCGCCCAGACCATCGCTAGCAGCTCCCCGTCCGTGACGGAGTAGTTGACCTCTCCGCCGTGTAGCGCCCTGGAAGCGAACGCGACGGGGCACTCCTTGCCCTCGTCGTCGAGCTGACTTAAAGTAGCTCCGATGCCGAGTTTGCTGAAGTCGGTGTCCAACAGGAACGGTTTGGTGTAGTCCGGCCGGGTGAGCGCCCGCGCGTCCATCAGCGCCTGCTTCATCAAGTAGAAGGCCCGCTCCTGGTCATCGCCCCAGATGTAAGGGACTCCGATTTTGGTGAGGTCGTGCAGGGGTTTGGCGAGCGCCGCAAAGCGGGGGATAAAAATCCTGTAGTAGCCAAGGATGCCGAGGAAACTCTTGATCTCCGTGGGGTTGATCGGCCGGTACCAGTCGCGCACCGCGCGCACCTTCTCCGGGTTGGCAGGAGCTGGTTGTGCCGGATGAGGTGCCCTAAGTGCTCCGTCTCGTCAGCGCCGAATTGACACTTCGAGGGGCAGAGCTTGAGGTTGATGGCTTCGAGCTTGGTGAGGATTCTGTCTAACGCCAACAAGTGGTCGTCAAAGTGCTCCGTGTAAAGCAGCGTGTCGTCAAGATACTGCGTCACCACGGGGTTAGGTCCGTTGATCTCCTCCTTCAGCGTCTGGTCCATCGCCATCTGGTAGGTCCCCGAGGCCCCTGTCAGCCCAAAGGGCATGCGCAGAAACTCGAACAGACCGCGGTGGGTTAGGAACGCCGTCTTTGGGATGTCGTCTGGGTGCATGCGTATCTGCCAATAGCCAGACTGTGCGTCGAGCGAGGTGAATTGCTTCGCGGGGCCCAGCTTGGAGAAGATCGACTCAATCCGCGGTAGAGGGTAGCTGTTGGGTATGGTCGCGGCGTTGATGTCCCTGTAGTCGACGCAGAAACGCCACTTGCCGTTCTTCTTCCTGGCGAGCACTACCGGGGCCGCAAAGGGGCTGCTCGAGGGGCGTACGACGTTGTAGTCCTCCATTGGTTTGAGCTGCCTGTCAATCTCCTCCTTCTCAAAGGGGCTGTGGGCACGGCTGCCCTTTTTGATGGGCTTGATGTCACCGGTGTCGATCCTGTGGGTAAAGCCCCGCACGAGTCCCAAGTCGGAAGGGTCTTTGGAGAAGGCGTGAGGGTGTCTCTGTAAGACCTCCGTCATCCGCCTCCGTTCTTCGTCGGTTAGACTCTCCGCAATCTGTAGCTGGGGTCGCACCGCCTCCCACGTACTGTTCTGCGTCGGGGAGTCGGGGCAGGGACTGGGCTTCCACCTGAGCGCACTCTGTTGCTAGCTGGACCGCCGGGAGGTGGAGTCCAAAGGGGTTGTTGTCCCAGTCAGCGTGATCGCGCTGCCCGCTGTCCGGGTCGGGGGAGATGGCTTCGCTTTCCGCCTCCGCCAAAAGGACGCTGGCGCGAAACTCCGGGGGTATTTTCTCCAGCAGGCTGGTTGGGACAGGGTGAAGGAACTCGTCGACGTTGAAGCGGCGATGGGCCTGCGTGTAGGTGTCGATCTGCGCCGTGGCGTATTCGTCGCTGTAGTCACCCTGTTGTGCCATGGTGTTGAAAAACCGGCGCATGGCCTGGGGAGAGGTTAGGATGATTCCCCGGTCTGGTTCGTCTGGTGGATCTTTCGGCATGGTGACGGGCGAGCAGCACAGGGGTTCCGCATCTGCCGGAGTCGGCTCGTCCTCCTCGGAGTCCGCTGTGGGCTGGTGAATCCACGTGACGGTGTCGTCCATGTAAGTCAGCTGCCGGACGGTCGTCGAGTGAGGGCGTCTCCAGTCGGCGCGCCACCTTTTGCCGTGGCGTGTCGGGGCCGACAGCCAGGCGCTGTGGCTGAAGACGGGGTTGGGAACCGCGGGTGGAGTCCGGGGTTCGTCGTCCACAAGTTCTGGCATGTCTTCGTCGGTGTCGTAGTCTATTGGGGGAAGCACCTGGCGTGCTGGAGTCTCCGTCTCTCGCACCTATAGCTGCCCGGTCCGGAGCAGCTCCCCGATTTCGAGACCTGCAATCCTGAGGTCGCCTGCGCGTTCGAGCGCAGCCGCCGTATTTGCCGGTGTGTCGGGTCGAACCCACAAAGTGAACTGAAGGGGCCGGCGGTCGGCGGGCGTCCAGTCCGGATCGGCGTGGGTCGGCAAGGGGGGCAGGAGAGTTGGCATGCCGCCGCAATCGTCGTCGTCGTCGTCAGAGTCGCTACAGTAGAGGAGCGAGGGAACGCCGTTAGAGTCGCTGTCGTCAGGGAGCTGGGTCAGTCCTGGCTGGGGTACCCCGGTGTCGCCATCCCGCTGTCTGAGCAGGTGAGCGCTTGGCGGCGGCGGAAACGGTCCTACGCGGTGTCTTCCTGCATTGATCACCGTGACTTGTGGTCGAGCCCGTGCGCGTTTCGGAGGCGTGATGAGGTTGAGAGCGCAGGTCTTGTGGCTCCGCGGCAGTTGGAACTCGAACCTGCCTTTCTGGAAATTGATGACGCCGTTGACCTTTTTCATGGAGGTAGTTCCCAACAAGACGTCGTAGTTCAAGTTGTCTTGTACCAGGAAACGTGCGCAGATCTCAAGATTTTTGCCGAGTCCAACGGCGGTGTCGACCCAGCCTGCCGCGGTCGTGCTACTTCCATCTGCCTGCAGAAAAGTTGGGGTTCCTGGGCGGAACTTGTGCTCCAGACTTGCGGCTCTGACGGTCTCCAGGGACATAACGTTGACGTCCGCGCCGGAGTCGATGCAAGTTGGTCTTTCCAAGCCGCGTACCCCGCCTATGCGTGCGGCGACGTACGCAATGCTCTCTCGGATGAGGGGATTGACAAACACTCGTTCGACCACCGGCTCGTCCTCTGTGGGCGGGGAAGAGGCAGCTGAGGCTGTGGCGTTCCGCACGTTGGCAGCACCGGTGAAGTCATCCGGGTTAGGAGCCGTGCTAGCCTGTCCAACCTTCTTCAGTGTGCGCGCCATATCCTGCAGGAGCTGCGGGTTGCCGTGAGCCGTATAGGCCTCTGAGCGGAACCAGCTCAACGGAAAAGTGCCGGAGACAGAGGGGCACGGAACCGGGGGGGCTGACGTCGCTCGTCCTGCGGCGTTCTCTGTGGCCGGGGCGATGCCCCGGGGTCGTCTTGACGGGGTTAGGCTGCCTATCAACGGGGGTCGGTCCGGGAGCCCTGGGCGCATGCCGCTGGGCGTGCCCCGATACGTTCCTGTTGGTACCTGCAAAGGGACGATGTGTCCGGTAGTCATGATGGGGACCCGGTTGGCGGGGAGTTTGACTCGGGCGCCTCTCTCGTCCAGTAGCTCGCGGCCGCCGCGGGTGACCCTGACGTTGTCGCAGGTGTCTTCCTCGTAGTAGTCATCGTCGGAAAGGTCCAACTCCGGTTCGTGCTCCCATCCAAGGGGGCCCGTAGCCATCTGTACTTTAGGCTCCGGTTTGGGGGTTCCATTAGGGCAGGCGGCCGAGACATGCGGCTTTGGTTGTCCGGGGCGACCGCACGAGTAGCAAGTGCGCCGGGGGGGTTCTCCTGTGGCCGGGGCTACGTGCCGGGGTGGTGCGGAGGGGCTGCGCCTCGGTGTCTCCTTTGGCTTCTCCTCTTCCCACCCTTTGTCCAACGTGGAGTGGAGAATGCAGGGAGACTCGTAGTCGTCATAGACGGTCTCCGCCTCGTAGTCGTCCTGGTCCGGATGGGGGCAGTCTCCGCACGTCCAGCGGATTAGGCCGTCCTTCTCCTTCTCCGTGCAGTCGACTTTGAAGTGACCTGTCTTACCGCAGTTCCAGCAGTCGCGGGGCTTGTCCCTCGGGCGCCCCCATCCGCCGTTGTTTCTTTCGCGCAGGTCTCTCTGGTCGCGTTGCTCCCTGGGGTCCCTGTGAGGCTCGCGCTGTTCGCGGGGCTGTTCGCGTTGTTCACGCGGTGGTTCGCGTTTGTTGTCCCGTGGCTCCCTTGGTCCGTCCCTCTGGTCGCGCAGTCTGCGGGCGTCTTTCTTGTTGTTTTCGCGCGCGGGGGGCGTGGTTCGGGGAGGAGGCCCTGCTGGGAAAACCGCACCGTATCACCGTCCTCCTCGGGGGGATCATCGCCGGGATCGTCAGTGGCCTGGGCCTCCGCTGTCCTGACGTAGTTGGGAGCCCTGACCGGAGTCCTGGTAGGGATCCTGGGGGTTGCCTGCGGGGCTTTCTCCAGGGCCTAGAGTCCGCGGTCTAGCTCCTCTGCGATCTCGACGGCCTGCTCGAAAGTCGTAGGGCCACGGGTATGAAGTTGTTCGCGGAGCAGGCTGCGCAGCGCCGTCTTGAAATGGTGGACTTTCAGTCGCTCGTTGGTAACGTCAGCCTGCACGAACAAGTCTCGGATGCGCTGAGCAAGGGTACCCACCGCTTCGTCCTTGGCCTGTTGTACTTGTCCCAGTTTGACGGCGCATTCGGCGGGGTCGGTCTAGCCGTACCTGTTCAAAAACTTCTCCTTTAGAGCATCCCAATTTTGGAGGAGCGACTCGCCGGTGAGGTCCATGTAGGCGTCGTCGGCAGACTGTACCCAATCCTGAGCCCCATATGTAAGGTTGTGGAAAAGCGTGAGTCCCATCTGTCCATCGGTGAGGCCCGGGGTGTTGCAGAGGTAGGTCTCCATTCTCTTGATAAATCGCTGAGCCTGGAAGCCCTCCTCTTTCTTCGTCCCCTTGTAGGTCACCACCTTGATGGGCTGAAAGATCCTGGGAGTCCTGTCAGGCTGTTTGGTTTCCGCGGAATCATCCCCTCGCTGAAGTCGGGGCCTGACCGCTGATTCCGGTTCAGACTTCACGCTGGGCGTCGGGGGCGGGTCTCCTGGGAAGCCACCTCCGGGGACCTGTGCGGGGTACATAGCTTGTCCCCGCTGTTGTCTGGGGGGTTCCTCCGGGGGCTTGTCTGGGGGGTCTCGAACCGCTCTAGCCAGAGTGGAAAAGGGGGGTACAAACTGGGGGGGATCTGGCTCCCTTCTGTTGTCCTCGTAGTGGTAGTTGTGCCAAAGGCGCTCCGGTGTCCGGAGCCTCTGAGGGGGTACGGGGTCCTGGACCCCGGCTGATGCTGAGACATAAGTCTGCGCAGTTGGAGTCAGGGCCTCCGACGTTTGCCGGGGGTTAGAGTCCTGTGCAGTCTGTGTCTCCTGTCGAATTGGTATTTAATAACCTCCTGCTCCGGGTCCTGTGCTTCGGTTCCCCGAGACTTTTCCTTCTTCATTTTCTGAAACGTCAAATACATCTGGAACTCTTCCCAGTCATCCGGGGTTTTACTTGGCCCACTGACCTGCGTCGTGGCTCGTGCCACCGTCTGGTAAGTTTTGCTCTGGAGACCAAACGCTGGCTCCGCTGTCCTGCTCAAGTTCAGAGTCGATCTCGGTTGCCATTCCTGTAACACCGGCTGCGAGTGAAGTCCGGGGACGGGGTCTCTGCCCTCTGGTACTCCCGATAATTTCGCTCCCTGGAGAGGGGGGTCTCGGCCCTCTGCCTCCGCCAGCTGTCCCTGTGTCCCGGGCAGGTAGCCTCCTTGCAACAATTCAAGTTTCCTGTTTCGGAGGAGAAGCCCCCCCGGGGCTTGGCCCAAGAGAGGGGCTAGGCTGGGCCGGTTCTCCTTAAAGGGTGGAGTCCCCCTGGGCACTTCGTCCGCAGCCTGGCCCTGCCGGGGCTCAGACAGGGAGTTCGTAGCAGAGACGTGCCTGTCCCTGCTCACGTCGTCAGAGGGGTCCCGCGCAGAGGGGATATCCCAGTGACTTTCCTGTTGGATATTGGCAGCTCCGCCGTCTTGGTTCACCTGTTCCGGGGTCTCTGTTGCCCCTTGCAGTAGAGTGCCACGGCGTGTGCGAATTCCAATCAGACTCATCTCATCAGCGTGATCCGGGGCTCCATTGAGCTGCACCATTGCACTCACCGACTCTTGAGTATCCAGATCCGGAGTCTCCTGATTTCTCTGAAGAGAGAAGTAGGTACCTATAATCTGTCCCTTGTAGGCTGGGTCCACCTGTTCCCCTTGAAGGCTGGGTCCACCTGTTTTGTCCCTTGAAGGCTGGGTCCACCTGTTTTGTCCCTTGAAGGCTGGGTCCACCTGTTGTTCCTGCTTTTTCCAAACCTGTTTGCTTTAGGTCGAGAAGAAAGGGAACCAATCCTCTGATACCAGAGAGGACCACCTCCGTAGCAAGCCCACTTGACCGCGGGGTTGCAACTAGAGCGAGGTCGAGTAGCGATGCAGTAGTTCCGGGGTTACAAGCACAGTCACCGGGGGTACCTGTCTGTAAACCGCGGGGGACTATCTCATCTACGCAGCGGAAGTCGATGGTGGCAGGCCCTTGACCAGGCTAGCCTAGCAAACAGTAGTAGTATTCAACACATGCTCAAATGTCCCATACCATTTGAGTCTCGCTCCAGCTTAAGGAGTCGAGGTCACATGCAATACTTTCAATTTCACCACACACACATACAGCCTTGCAAACGTGTTGAGCCCCGTCTCATGTCAAGCCACCATATCGGGAGGTCCCCTTCGGTTGCCATGGGTGCACATACCTGCCATGCGAATGCCACCTGCTGAATAGCGCTGGAAAGACTGAATGGAGCTGCGGATAAATGGCTGGCGGATGAACAATGCTTCCGGTTATAGACCGGTGTCCTTAAGAGATTGGCGGAGAACACACTGCTACACTGCGGTACCGTGCTGAAAACACTGGCAGCGGACCCTTCCTGCTCACTACAACGGCGCTTTACAAGGATGCTGTCTAGCGAGAGAAGTTGGAATGGATGCCTAATCGTCAAGTCCTATCGTCCTAGAAGCCGGGCTAATGGAGTATGAAGTTACGTAACTACTCAGTAACGGAGTCTGTCCGGAGTTGTCACTTGCTCCCTGAAGTCCCGAAGGTCTCCGGAGAACCTGCACAAGGACCAAAATAGCCTTAGCGCAGATTCTCAGTGAGGTACTGGAACACTTTGCAAGGTGACGGAACTCCGGAACTAATCACTGTGGTAGTATTCTGGACCTACTCCGCGCATCTTAGCCTAGACTTCCTATTTGAAATCAAAAGACAAGATCTACCCTTGTCATCGTACGGCCCCGGTCTGTATGGAACGACCGCTGAAATCCAATCTTACGGCTAAGGTTTACTCTACGCGGGGAGTTTCACCCCCGTAGTCCTAATCCTTAAACCCCGGATCCTGCTGAATTGATCCGGTGTTCAGGCCCCGGAGGCGCGACTGCGGAGCCGCGTATTATCTGCACCTGTCTCCTGTCGCCACGTGGCAATCTTTCACTGGTCGGTACACCTGGTGCGGCCCTTGATGGAGCGGGCCTATACAGAGAGCACAATAGGCAGTCTTGGCGCGTGAGTCCTGGGTTTTACAGAGTGACTTCGCGATGCCGTACTGCAGAATTTGCAGCACTGACCATGGCCAGTCTTGACCGGACATTTGCAACAAAGACGTTAAATGGTCGCTCAATACTGTAGCGTATCCTTGCTCGTTTCTGCATTTTTTCAAGGGCTGCAACATGTTGAGATCGGGGTTGAGAACTAACGCTTATGCTCGGCAAGATTCAGTGTCCGACTCTCAGCCTGGGCGTGATCTCACAACACTTTGACAGTGACCGCACGAACGCCGACAATTCGCCGGCCGCCACACCCCCGACCCCCAGAATTTTGCGAAACTTTTCACGCCAGCCGCCAGGCTGACCCCCCAGCAATTGAGAACCTAAAAACTGCGCTTATAACGCAGAATACGGCCTAATTGGGTACGAAATCAGCGCATATCCATTGCTAGTATCTCATACGTATGTCAAGTAGCCTAAATCTACCACAATATATTGAAAACCGTCTTGGTATTTGCGGGCGGGTCCGCCCGGGGTACTTTTCCCGGCTGCTGCCGCCGCCGCCGGACCCATTACCCGCTCGTCCACCGGGCACTTTCGCCAGCCGCCGACCCACCCCTCCGCCATTTCAATTGTCGGCGTTCGTGCAGTCGCTGTAAAAGTGTTATGAGACCACGCCTCGCACATGAAACTGTCGGGCCTCCACAAAGAACTGAGTGCCTTACACTCGCCAAACAACTTTTAGTATGAATGACAATCACATGACAAACGTTCAAGTCATATCGAGTCCAAGTCTAGCTTCAATCTAGACCCTAGTGCGCACTTCAACCAGTACCGGGGCACTACTATGCCGGCAATTTACTGCCCAGGTTTCATGCATCGATCTGAAATATTCTCGCGGAACCAGTTGCCCGGTTTGGCCAATAGTACCCACTAAACAACGGCCTACCTCAACTTAAACAATTTGGCCGCCTGACCGACCACGACTTCCAACATAATATGCTAGCTTCCTTAATCATTCCATGCGTGTTCTAATGTTGGCAACAATTGACTCAAGTTTTCATGAAGAATTGCGCAATCGTCCTGGTTACGTTTGCGGCCATCGCTATCTTGAAGCCGCTGCCAATACGATATTTAATCTGGTCTTTTGGACCTCTCAACTTGGACGCTCTCAACTTGAACGAGCCTCCTTCGAGATCCACAGACCCATGTGGTACCACGGGCCTCCAAAAGATTCATTTCCATTTTATTATTCTAATGAAAATCTGACCGAAATCGGGATGTGGGGTTTCTTAGGCAAATTGCGCACCCGGGTCTTGAACTTGTTGACATCCGACATCCGCTTTGGGCTATTCGGACCGAGTCTCTGCTGACTTTGGGCACATCCCGGATGTCCAAAATCTGCAAAAAACGTCACCCAGCCCTTTATTAGGCTTGGGAGTTTGGTCGGATGTCAATTGCAAAAAGGGTTGTCGTTGTCGGACGCACATGAGGAACGATGAAGGCAACGAGTTGCCGATCGAGCGGTCTTTTCCAATTTGTACGCGTGTGGTGTACACAATTCAATTAAGCTGACGTACGGCATCCCAAACCCAAAACCCGGGACCCGATGCGGTTTGGATAAGGGTTACGGGGTTGCTGAAACCCTGCAGTTTTCGGATTTGACGAACGTCAGCGAAGCCTCGTTTTGGACCGTCACCGAGACCCCGAATTTGGCATGAATAGGCCATGGGAGGCTTTTTCGAGGTTAAGATGGGATTTAGGAATTGTGAGTTGTTCGGGGTTACTCGAGTTCAGTTAAGTTTGGGCGTGGACTTGCAGACCAAGGTTTGCAACTTAAGGGATTGGTACCCGGTATAGGCCTGTCGGGACGGTAACGGCCAAGGTAGCTTGGAGCTGGCCGGGTTGCCATGCCGAGGGCGGTCCGTGCCGGGTAGTGTCCAGATAGCGACACGTGGCGCAGACGTGCCACGTGGCGGCGATAGGGCGAGCCGCGGCCGGCTTGCGAGCGTGGCGCGCGCCCCGCAGGTAGAGTCCAGGGTAGTCCACTAGGGTGTGGTTAGTGGCAGACCGCCGAGATTACCGGCCGAGTCTAGGGTACGAGACCTGAGCCCATGATTGAGACTCGTGCCGGTCGAACCCATAGGGCCGACGAGAGGTGATCCCTTCACTTCTCTTAGGCAAGTTTCCATAGCTAGGTGCATCGAGCACAGGGCGCTAGTGTTCATTGCATAGTGCAGCGAGCTATTGGCAGCAAGAATTGTGAACTGTGGCGGAGGTTCTCCTCCTTTCAAGTGAGTGCGGGAAGAAGCGTTGTCAGCGCATGTGTTGTGCATGATCGGAGCCGAAGCCTCGAGAAAGGGAGAAGTCACAATGGTCATGAGCATTGCATGCTCGGTGATGTGCATGCTGCATGAGAGAGCAGAGGGAGACCTACGGCACTTGCAGCGCCTCCACGCCGCCAATGTGTTTTGCGTGCAAGGGAATTGGCACGTCATCACTTGCCT